CTTTAGCTTTAAGCTACTCTGTATCTTAGCAATGGTTTTGAAAGCTTGAACTTTTGCCTATATTTGTGTTGAATTTAGCTTTTAACACGTTTGCAGAGTTAAGCTTTCAGCTACTCTTTTGTTGACTTAAACTTTTAGTAATATTTTAGCTAATTTTACCTTTTTGTTGCTGTTTTGTTGCTTAGCTTTTAGCTACTGCTTAGCCAATTTTAGCTGTTACCTACTCTTATGCTAATTTGAGCTTTTGGTTACTGTTTTAATAATTAGAACATTTAGAAATTGTTAGCAAATTTTAGCTTTAAGCTACTCTTTTTTTTATCTTAGCAATGGTTTTGAAAGCTTGAACTTTTGCCTACAGTTGCACTGGATTTAGCTTTTAACATGTTTACAGAGTTTAGCTTTTAGCTACTGTTTTGTTGGCTTAAACTTTTAATAATATTTTAGCTAATTTTACCTTTTAGTTGCTGTTTTGTTGAGTTTAGCTTTCAGCTACTGTTTTGTTGGCTTAAACTTTTAATAATATTTTAGCTAATTTTACCATTTAGTTGCTGTTTTGTTGAGTTTAGCTTTCAGCTTCTGTTTTGTTGGCTTAAACTTTTAGTAATATTTTGGCTAAGTTTACCTGTTTGTTGCTGTTTTGTTGAGTTTAGCTTTCAACTTCTGTTTTGTTGGCTTAAACTTGTAGTATTATTTTAGCTAATTGTACTTTTTAGTTTCTGTTTTGTTTAGTTTAGCCTTCAGCTACTGCTTAGCCAGTTTTAGCTGTTACCTACTCTTCTGCTAATTTGAGCTTTTGGCTGCAGTTTTGCCTAGTTTAGCTCTGCACTTTTTAACTTTAAGAATACAACAGCAGAGTCACTGATTTTAAATGTCAGCGGTCGTTCATGATTCCAGCTGTTTGTTTGTGATTAAAGCAAACAGCTGGGTGTGTGAGTAGCTGTGACGACGTGAGTTGTTTTCCTCCCACAAACTGATAATTTTCCTTCCTGAGTCTCGTGTCTTGTTGTTTCGGCTGCTTGCTGACGCGTGTGACGCTGTCCCTGTCGCCCTGCAGCTCTGGATGGAGACGGAGGACAACGACATGAGGAGCTGCCCTCTCTGCCAGCTGATTTTCCCCGTCGGTTACCCTGACGATGCCCTCATCAAGCACATCGACTCCCACCTGGAGAACAGCAAGATATGATTGCCATGGCAACGGGCCCCGCACACACACACGCACACACACACACACACACACACACACACACACACAC